TTTAGAACCCATGAAAGATTAATAAATCTAAAAACAATTTAAAAATCTGCATGTTAAAAGAAAAATTTGAAGCTCCTATCACACACAAAAGACTAATCTTCTAGTATAAAAGAATTGTTTTTAAAAGGTCAATGTCTTAGTAGAGAAAAATGGCAAAGTATATGAAAATACAGTTCACAGAATAGGATATACAAATGGCTTTCAAAAAGGTGACTGTTCTCACAGTAATAGAAATGCAAGTTAAAACAATACACTGAAATGTCATTTTTACCTGTAATATTGTTAAGAATCAAACATTGATAGCCTTCGTAGAACAGGCAATAGAAAAGCAGGTACTCATTTATTATGGATGGGAATATAATTTGGTACAATCTCTATGAAGCACCACTTGGCAATATTTATCAAAATGGTAAATATATATACCATTTAACAGAGCAATTCCTCTTCCAGAAATTTATCCTACATCATAGTTATTTATTTTTATTGTACTATTTTACACCTTTCTCTGTTATTATATTTTCAGTGTGTCCCATATTTAAACAAATTTATAATTAAAGTATATTTTCCCTTTTTTGATTATCTGTCTTTTAACAAGAGAATTTAATCCTTTTACATTTATTATAATTTCTTTTATATTTAGATTCATCCTATATATTTTCTCCTTTTCATATTGTTTTTCCCCTGGGGGCAGGAGAATGTTTCACCAGCCTTCTGTTGGATCAATAGAGCTTTATTTATTTTCTCTACTCCATTCTATTCTCTTGGAAGTTAATTTTATATTTATTCTTTCAACAGGTACCCTTAAACTTTAATATGCTTAACTACTTAACTAAGTCTACAGGTAATCAATAATTCTATCCTCATCTCTATCAGTGCAAGGACCTTACTTTGACACAGATCACGTTTCTCTTATCTTCCCTACTATTCCTTCCTAGTATCATAGCTCCACTTTGTAAAGCCACCATATGAATTATTATTAATATTTTTATTTTTGTAGTCACTGCTTATTTAGTCTTATCAATATGTTCGAAAACTTTTTTACTGTTACTTCTTGCATCTCACTTTGTTGTCCTGTGTTTATATTACTTTTTAATAAATCTTATATTTTGGTGAGGATGATGATCCATGGGTTAAAAATTACTCCTCAGTTGTGGTCAGATACATTAAATTTGTCTTTATATCTGAATGGTGGTTTCACTGAGATGTATTGTAGATGAGTAGTTTTTGTTTTTTCAGCATGTTAAAGAGTTTTTACCTTGTCTTCTGACCTCATTTTTGTTAATGGGAAATGTAATTTCAGTCTAATTTTGATCCTTACTATGTAATTTGTCTTTTGTTCCTAGTTGCTTTTAAATATTTTCCTCGACTTAGGAGTTATATATTTTTCCTGAAAAATGTCTATAGATGCGTCTTCAATCTGAAGATTTACATTTTTTTACAATTGTGAAAGATTCTCAACCATAATTTTTCAACTATTGCCTTTCTCCATACTGTATTCTCTTCTCTGGAGCTCCCATCAGTTACACGTGAGAACATCTGTTTTGGGGACTTTCTGCTGTCTTTTCCACTGCAATACTTCCCTGTGCTACCTTGGAGTTGGTCTTGCAGTTTTGTGACCCAGGTCTTGAATTCTCTTTCTTAAAAACAAAATATTCTTCTATTTTTACTGTTTAAACATTTTCTTTTTAGATTTTATTCTGTTATTTTTAGTTGGTAGTTTCAGAGCTCATTCACACGCTCATTGATTGTTTGAGTTTTCCTTATGGTGACTTCATTACAACGGTGATTGGTAAATTTTTTATTGTAAACTCATCTATAGTAGGGGTTGCATTTTCTGTGGCAGGCCTGTGTACCTGGGTTATGTATGTTAGCATTTTTTCATGTGCTTTTGCATGGACCCCAAGGCTTTCTTTTTCATTATCTGGGACTATTTTTTTTTTTTCTTAATTTCTTAGCTTTAGATTCTTTGAGTTTCTATTTCTCAGAGGAGGTTTTCCCCATTAAGAGCTTTGTCAAGCATCAAATTTCTGTTTCCACAAACTAGTGGAAGAGACTGTCTAGTACCCTTTCCACAGGTGAGACAGCCTTTGAAGGGTCCTAGTTATATGCAGGAATCTTGATTTAAATGCCTTCTCTCACCAAATGCTTTGTTTTTCTGATCTTATGAGACATTAAAACCACAGTCTCGGTCTTGTGGTCTAGTCTGTGTCTGATATTTCCTGAAGTCATCTCTGTGACAGAATTTCTCCAGCATCTGAGGATTTCCTGAGTTCAGCTTTAGCACTGAACACATATGCGCTTTTTTAAACTTTGGAGCAGCTTATGGATTCACATCGGTCTTATCTGCCATCTTGCCCAAAGTCTTCTTTTTCTACACTTAAAAGCATTTTTCATTTTAGAAAGTCTTATTTTTAGCATCAAAAATCTCATGGTACTATTACATGATTCTAGTTATATATTCAATATCACTGAAAAATGTAAAATGACTTAAATTATTTTCAGTTATTCATTATAACCACATCCACACACATTTGTAAAGTAATCATATGTCTATGTGTGGAATGTGTTATATATCATTTTCAGGCACTGCTTAATGACTATATAATTTGTAAGACCTCTTGCAATAACCCAACCACTGCCTCAAGGGTTGAAAAACACTGTTAAAACTTCATTTTTGAAATGTCACAATAAATCCAAATGAGGCCATAATATATTAATAAGGTAATTACACATTTTCGGGTTAGCATGTGATTCTAAGCAAGATCCTTGGGAATTATTATAAAAGTTATAACAACAGATACTTTCAATATTTTATTTGCTAGTTGAAGCAAAAATATGGAAAGTGTCAGAGTAAGTCTCTGATTTGAGTTTTTTTAAAATGAAAGTCATTAACCTAATTGTGCTTCTGACCGTTGAGTACAACATTCTGCCATTACGCATTTGTTATGGGGATAAAGTGTTATATTTAATGGGCCAGGTCAAGTTAGAATTTTTACTGCTTTTGACCAAAAGTCACTGTAAGATTGAGATCAATTTGTAGGTACTGTCTGATCTTTAAAAAGTCAAAAAACATAAATTAAAAAAATATATATATTCTGTGAGTAAAAATACTTTCTGTTTCTGGAGTTAATATCAAAATAGTCATTAATCAGTGTATTACCATGTAATTTTAACTGAAATGTCTCAAACAGTTCTTGTTCTATGTCCCACATGAAATAGTTTTCTTTGGATTCTGGATTATATATATATAAACTTTAAGGAAATACTCCCAAATTTGAAAACTACTAATTTTATGGTAATACTAAAGAAATATAAAGTGGAATATTTATTATTAAATTAAGTTATCTTAAGAGCAACTGAAAAAAGTTTATTGCTAAATAAACCTTAAAAATGACTTTTCTGTAAGTCAAAAGGAAACAGTAATTTAGAAGAACTCTCAGGGGTAGTGGTCACAGTGTGACGAACACACACACAAAGATAAATAAAGGCTCTCCTAACTTATCTCTTCTCTAAATTTTGGTTTTAATATTAAATTATTCTCAACACCTACTTTTTTAAATGAAGACCTGTTATTATCATTACCAATATGGGCAAATTTTAATATGCTTGCATTTGATGTTACTACAAAAAGCAGAAACTTTTTCTTTTAAGGCTTTAAAAGTAAACAGAATAGCAAACTAGGTCCTTAACGTCTTTCAGTGAGATTAGGGTAAGTGCAGACATTAAGAAGCCTGTCTCGACTGTGTGTTAATATGCTCATAAAACTCCCGAAATGCAAATAATCACCAGAGTCTTGATGAGAGATAAAATAGCATTTTATCAGTAGAATATGTGAATTCATAGAAATGTATGTCCTCCTTCAAGCTATAGGGTCACTCTGCCATGCCCCTGGTCTGCACTCTGGACACAGCCACTTGCCATCTGGTCATGGCTCCTTAGCAGAGTAGGCCTCTCAGAGAAGCCTCTCAGAGAACGCAGAGGACAGATGCAAACGGTCAGAATTAAAATTCAACACATGCTTGTTGAGTACTCGCCTACTGTGTGCCAGACACCCTTGCAGGCAATGACAAGCACCCTGAACAACTGAACTTAAGTAACTGCAATGAATAAATGATAAGAGCTACAAAGAAATCAAACGGGGTGACAGGCAGTGGGAGGAAGGCTTTGCCGAACTGAAATCCAGATGAAAGTACTAGCAAGTGACAGAGAAGTCTGCAGAGAAAGAGAACGGTGTGCTATGGACCGGATTGTGTTCCCCTGACCCCCAACTCATTATGTTGAAGCGCTAACCCCGATGTGACTGTGTTTGGAGATGGGGCCTCTAAGGAGGTCATCGAGGGTAAATGAGATCATAAGGGTGGGGCCATAATCCGATAGGAGTGGTGTCCTTATAAGAAGAGGAAGAGACACCAGAGCTCGCTGTCTGCATGCACACGGAGGAAAGGCCATGTGAGGACACAGCAAGAACGTGGCCACCCTCAGGCTGAGAAGAGAGGCCTCCACAGCCTGACCATGCCGACACCCTGATCTCAGACTTCCAGTCTCCAGAACTGTGAGGAAATAAATGTCAGTTTTATAAGCCACCCGGTGTGTTGTGTTTTTTTTGTTTTGTTTTGTTTTGTTTTTTGGCAGCCTGAGCGAAGGCACATGCATCCAAAGAAAGTCTCTAAGGAGGAAGGAGTGAGGCCAGACCTGCCTGAGGTGCAAAAGCACCAGTGGCTCCAGAGCACAGAGTGTGCTCAGGAGGACGGCGTGGAGTGAAGGGACCCCGAGGACCAATCGGGGGGACATGTGAATGGAGAGGGGAAATAGGGAGGCAGAAATTGAAACAGGGAGATGAGTTAGGAGACTCATGCAGAAACCCAGATGGCTCAGACGAAGATGGTAGTGAGCAAAATGGTGGAAAAGTGGGTGAAATGAGCATTTGTTTGGAGACAGAATCAATCAGATTGCTGATTAATTGAATATGGGTTTTGAAGGGAGGGAATTCAGGTGACCCCATGGTACCAGGAGGCCCAGGGAAGACAGCCTCACGAGGTCAACTGTGTCGTGCTGATGAGAAGAAGAAAGGGACAAGGAGATCTGACAAAAAGAAGGTTACTGGTGACCTTGATAAAAGCAACTTCAGTGAAATGGTGGAGAAGTGGGTGGAAGAGAGAACGGGAGTAAGGCCTTTGTAGTGTAGACAGTGACTAGAGAGGATTCTTTCGAAACATTTTATCATGAAAAACAATGTGAACATGGAGCAGTAGCTGGAACTGTTCAGAAAAAAAACACATTAAAGAGAAGTCAGATATATTATTAAAACACACATACACGCACACACACACACACACACACACACACACACACACAAACTCCTGATGGTAACTGGAATATAAGAGGGTTTACCAAGATCTAGGCCAAATTCATCAAGTGAAAACAATATTATAACAATAAAAAAGTGTAAAAGAACCACAGTGTGGCTTCCTGCCCCATACAAACACCCTGGCTTGGCTCGGCAAAACCTGCTACAGAACACAGGGCATTCAGTTCCTGGCTGAAGCTTGTCAAAATCTTCTTACCCCAAGGTTTTTGGTTCCTGCCCTAGGCTCACTAACATCTTGGTACTGAACCCAAGTCCAGCTGCCTGCCCCAAACAAACAAAATGACCCAAAAGTCAAATATTGGTGGAAGAGGAAGTCAGCTTTAATTCATCCATACCAGTGACCTGAGGGGAAGTGTTAGTCTAACCCAGCTCTCTGGTAAACCTGAAGGAGAATGCCCAGACTAAAACCATCTCAAACTCAGGTTTACGGAGGGGTTTTAAAGAGGGGGCTGAGGGAATGGAAAGCAGAAGGGAGGGGGACGTGTAAGGCAGCAGGTGCAAATTCTCACCAAGGCTCCTTTTGGCTTCTGTTCTTGTTCTGACATTTTATCAGGGTCCAGTATTTGCTTCCGGGTGGAATCAGCATAGCTTTAGTGATGCCTCCCTTGGTTTCTCAGAGTCTAAATAGTACATGGCTTGTGGCAAGTTTGCAGCTCCAGGCTGACTGGAAAACAATTTTACATTCATGTAAATAATGTCATCTTGTGCCATAACAAGGTTCAAAATGCCAAATAACCATGGGAAAAGAGGGATCTCAGAGAAATTTTAAACTTTTCTTTAACATTTTCCTGCAGCCCAGGTGATTTTTAGGTCTCAACATGCTTTCAGTCCTGCTCACTCCACCAAAAGGAACCCTAGAATATATGCAAGCAGAAAAATAGCTACATGCACAAAATCACCCTGCTGCAAGCAGAACAATATAGTGTTTAAAGAGACTTGTGACCTCAAAATATAATGGCAAGTAGCTATTCAATTACTAAGGCAACAGATCTGCAATGATAATGGATATGCCAAATAATTGATAAACAGAAAACGAATTCATGAGAAGAAAATTTTGGGTAGAAAAGAACTGTTGGAGTTAGTGAGCTAGGAGGATTTATAGTTACAAAATTTTTTTTCTCAATATCTCTTACTCAGTCTCTCATTCAATTTTTTTGTCTTTCAATTGATCCCTCTTCTTTCTCTTCTTTTCCTTCCTCTCATGACTTTCCTTTCTTTTTCAATTCTTTTGAAAATAGAATTACATGGGCACTCAGTATTTGTTGCTCAAAGGCACATTATAAAATGCAAGGGGAAGATAAATTCAGCTATAAGCTACTTGGGAGAGACACTCTTAAACTACGTCAGAGGAAGGAAGTAAAAGGATAAAAAATATGATAGGCAAACTGGTTATAGCAATATTAACATTAGACTAAGGCAAACTGCATTAATAATGATAAAGAAGATAAGGACATGAGGATAAATGGAACAATTCACTTAGAGGTTATAGTAATGCTGAACCTCAATGTGCCTAACAACAAAGCCTGAGAGGCAGTCCCAGTACCATGTTATGCAGCCACAATGCTCAGATTTGAAACCCAGCTCTAGCACTTACTAACTGCCGACTTTGGGCAAGTTATTAAACCTCACTGTGCCTTAGTTTCCTTACACTGAAAATTGGGATACTAATATTAATAATACTTCTTAGAGTTGTTGTGAGGATTAAATGAACTAGTACACACACAGTGCTTACAACAATATCTGGCATTGTAAACACTGGCATTATTATTGTTGCTGTTGTTGTTGTTGTTAATATTGTTGTCCCAAACCACACAAAGAAAAAAATAGAATTCAAATGTCAACAATGTTAGTAGATTTTAGGATGCCTTGCTCACTAAGATAAGTATGTTTGAAAATGCTTGAGAAAGCTGTGAGATAGCTGCAATAAAATATTTAAACAAGCTGTCTCATCTTTAAAGTCATTGCAAAGAAAAAAGCACACACAAAGTAAATAAAACATAATCTTCTTAACAAAACTGCAAAATAGAAAGGAAAAAGTAAAAACAGCCACCAGAGACCAAAAAATAATATGATGGAAGCCAAACTAGGCATAGTCATAAATGCAAAGGACTTAAATTAATATATTAGAGTACAAAGAGTCTTAGATCATATTAAAGTACAAAATTTAATAATTTGCTACCTAAAAGAGACACATGTAAAAATGTCACAATGGGCTAAAAGAAAGAATTAGCAAAACATATAAAAAATGTAAATAAAAATATAGTACAGGTAACACTTTTATTATGAAGTTAGGTTACAAAGTGAAATTATAGATAACAGCATTGTACCTTTAGGAGATAAATGACATAGCAATAAATTTTCAAAATGTGCAAAATGATGTTCTAAAACATTTTTAAATGCACAAAACTCCTTGAGAAAATTAGTATTAAATATATATTCCATAAACTTTTATTTAATAAAGTAAATTTTATAAGTATACAAGGAATATAACATAGAATTTATGACAGTATATACCTACATTTGGGATTCATTTTCAAAGCACCTGTTTTGGGAGAGGATCTGAACATAAACTCTTGCCTGCTGACTTCCTTTGTTGGCTGGACTTCCTCTTCCTTTTTGACCCCTGCTTGAACATGCACTGCAAATGGGAAGTTCGTGAGCAGACTGTAGACAGGCCTGTTTGGGGAACCATAGGACATTTGACTCAACCAGATTCACAGTAATCACTCAGGAATGTGCTGGGTTTGTTCCCAGTTACTCATACCCAGGAACAGGCAGGGACATGGCTGGAGACTCCAGAATGCTGGGAGAGAGCTGGAAGGTATAAAAACCTCCTACTAACATAAAAGAGAATTTCTCAAAAATCGTAATGGATTCCTCACTTAATCAGAAAGTGATACTTGGAAGCAGAGAGCATTCATATGGACTTGAAAACCAGGAAAATCAGCACCTCTTGATGGGAACGCCACATCTCTTGCTCTGTGTGGAGGTGTTCTATCTGCAATCTGAGTCTGTGGGGTCCCATCCATCTATAATACCACTGCCTCTTCTGTCACCTTGCTGGTGGTAGGTCAGGTCCTAGAGAGAGTGGAGGACCCGGGCAAGAACAATCTCCTACATGGAGATAATTCCCAGCTCACCATCTCTTTTTCTCAACTCTGGAATTTTCATTCCCATTCCTTAGTGATGCTGGATACTACTGCCAAGGTCTGGACAAGAGGTCATGGGGGTGTTATCAAGGGTGCTGGATGGAGACGTGGGAAAGAAGTAGGTCTGTTCCCAGAAGAAGCTGGTGAGGGGACATTGGGGCCTTTTGCTTCTGAGTGGTCCTTTTAGGTTCAGCCCACTCTTTGTCTTCCCCATTTTTTCTTGATGGCACCAACATTCGACTTGCCATGACAGCTCTGGGAAACAAACAGGGCATCGTGTGTGCCCTCACTCTCATGTTTGCCAGGCCCAGGGAAGGCACATTTCTCAAGAACATAGTAATGTGCATTCCCTGCTACATTCTTGTTAGAAGTTTGGGTGTCAATCTCTTTCAACCATTTCGTTTGTTTGTTTGTTTGTTTTCCTTTCATTTTATTCTTACATGTATCTTTTTGGCATATGTACTAGAAAATTCTGAAATTCCATTTAATACTGCATTTGTGCCAAATGGTAAAAAATTAACAAGAAGAAACAAACTGCTAATACACCCCCAGTGTAGATTATATGTAAATAAGAGATTTGACTGTTCAGGTTTAAAGGACACTAATTTTTAACCTCATTGCTAGTAGATCAAAGACAATTGCATACTTCAGGTTAATAAAATCTTCCTGAGGTTCTGCAGAACTTGCTCCTCTGAGCTGGTGACAGAGCGTCATAGCTCACCTGGCTGTGCTTTGTCCCGGCTGTTTTCACATGGCATTTCTTCTCTCTCTGCTTTCAGGTAGAAATTGAGAAGCTGGATTACCATCATTACCTGCCTCTGTTTTTTGATGGGCTTTGTGAAATGACATTTCCCTATGAGTTTTTTGCTCGGCAAGGAATCCACGACATGCTGGAACACGGGGGGAACAAGATTCTACCTGTCATTCCACAGCTCATTATCCCGATAAAAAGTAAGTGAAGAGGGGAAAAGCATCACTCAGTTTATATGGTGCCGCTTTTTGACAACTTGCTAATTAAGCAATAAAACACAACAGACTGAGGCCATCCCCAGGTTTTGCAAGGATCTTTATAAATTGACGTTTGAGGACAGACAACCAATCTCCAAAAATATATCCCATCATGGCTAATGCACTATGGCTTAGCCATGTAAATAAACTAGATTACATGGGTTTGCAGTAATTTAAAATGCTGCAGAGTAATGACACAGACATTGACACTAACTGACACATTCGGAAGTAAAGTATGTGAGTTTGGACATTCCACTGCTGCTAACTTGCACGTCCTTTTAAAATGGCGTCCCCAGTTTTTAAATTACAGTATAAACACTATTATACTGAGTACCTTTTAGGTAGTAGGATTCATGATTTTAAGAAAAAAAAAAAAATCTGGATTGGAGAAAAGGTTAATGTTTTTAAACCTGAAACATTTTATTTATGATAGGTTACCTGAGGAGGCTCTAGGGTAACCCTGGCACTGGTTTTATCTTTATCCTTTCTATGGCCAACATATTCAGGCATGAGTCCCTTTGGACTAATTGTCTGAAAGCAGCCACTGAGATTTTCCCGTGAAACAGCCTCTCATGGCTCCAGAACAAGTTCCTTAGTTGCTTTCTGTCCAGTCATTTTACTTTGCTGCCACAGCTTCTGGTGACCCTAGTTATAGAGCCACCCTAATGAGCACACCTGGCATCACTGGTAATGACTCAGAGAGAGGATGCTTCTCCTCAACCCAGATGTCCAGAGTTGGCTCCTCCCACTCATCCCTCATCATGCCCCGACTCCACTTGCACCAGGACTCCCCACCTGCCCCAGGCCCCCCCCCCTGCCCCAGGGCCCCCCGCCTGCCCCAGGACTCCCTGCCTGCCCCAGGCCCCCCCCCCTGCCCCAGGGCCCCCCGCCTGCCCCAGGACTCCCTGCCTGCCCCAGGCCCCCCCCCCTGCCCCAGGGCCCCCCGCCTGCCCCAGGACTCCCTGCCTGCCCCAGGCCCCCCCCCCTGCCCCAGGGCCCCCCGCCTGCCCCAGGACTCCCTGCCTGCCCCAGGCCCCCCCCCCTGCCCCAGGGCCCCCCGCCTGCCCCAGGACTCCCTGCCTGCCCCAGGCCCCCCCCCCTGCCCCAGGGCCCCCCGCCTGCCCCAGGACTCCCTGCCTGCCCCAGGCCCCCCCCCCTGCCCCAGGGCCCCCCGCCTGCCCCAGGACTCCCTGCCTGCCCCAGGCCCCCCCCCCTGCCCCAGGGCCCCCCGCCTGCCCCAGGACTCCCTGCCTGCCCCAGGCCCCCCCCCCTGCCCCAGGGCCCCCCGCCTGCCCCAGGACTCCCTGCCTGCCCCAGGCCCCCCCCCCTGCCCCAGGGCCCCCCGCCTGCCCCAGGACTCCCTGCCTGCCCCAGGCCCCCCCCCCTGCCCCAGGGCCCCCCGCCTGCCCCAGGACTCCCTGCCTGCCCCAGGCCCCCCCCCCTGCCCCAGGGCCCCCCGCCTGCCCCAGGACTCCCCACCTGCCCCAGACTCCACACCTGCCCTAGGACTCCCCGCCTGCCCCAGGGCCGCCCACCTGCCCCAGGACTCCCTGCCTGCCCCAGGACTCCCCACCTGCCTCAGGGCCCCCCGCCTGCCCCAGGACTCCCCACCTGCCCCAGACTCCCTGCCTGCCATGCGTGGCTGCTGCTGCTGCTGCTACTTTAGCTTGACTGTTGCTGCTAATTAAAAGCAGAGGATTGAGCACTTCATGGGGGAAGGGAATAGCACCTTTTTCCCAGCCAGAGCTGTTCCAGGCATTTTTACCCTCTGGATCGGGACCCAACTTCCCATGGCTTTTGAGGGGTAAGAAGGTCCCTGCTTCCCCAGCCCCAAGATCCTCCACATGTCCTACTCCAGGCAGAACCACTTGCCAGGGTGATTGGCGGGACGCCCGGCTACTCTTCTAGCATGGCGGGAACCCCACCCTCACTGCCTCAGTGTGATCTTGCCACATGGTTTGACCAGAACAACATGGGGTCATTTCCCACATTCTAGATTATTTAAGCTCATCCACGGTCACTTTTAACTGATATGAATTTATCATCATCAGGATTCTAGATTTTCAGCAATTATGCTCTCACTGCTTACTTACATCAAACCAACTTTGAAACTTGCTCTTATATTTTTGAGATCTCTGTAGAGATCTGTAACCAACGAAGCCAAATTTCCACCAAGACATAGACAGTGAAACCAAACAGAAGGACAGTGCTGCCTGATGAAAAAAGTAAGAAGGAAAGAAAAACGACCCTTTAAAGGGACCTTATTAAACAGCAGCGCTCCCTTGCCCTCATGCGTCAGCCGAGTGAAGGGATGATCTTTAAAAGGCCTTCAGAAGGATATATGGTACTGAGCCACATTAAAACCTTTTCCAAATGTGATTTGTTCTCTTGCAGGGGTCACAATTTTTGAATATGTTAAATTCTAGGTGAAAGGCTACATTTTTAAAGATGATATGCAAGTTTTATTGATAAACGAAAAAAAGGCCCAGAACATTCTGCCCAGAAACTGTCATTTTCCTCCTTTACCCCTCAGAATAGCAGCAGTGTCCAGGCATCTTATCTTTTCTTTAAAATTAACGTTTCACGTTGGGATCACTGCCTTCTCAGATCCCCACTGAAGACACTGAAGGGAAGAATGACAGATGCTAAGTAGCATTTTGATTACGCCGTTTACAATGAAAACATCACAAATTAGCGTTTCACAGGCTGAGGTGAAGTGATTTTCAATTTTGTTTGGTCTGTATTTTGAAGGTACATAAGTGAGCTTGGAGAGAAGTAATATATTGTAAGGACAAAATTTGCAGCGGACACATTCTACAGGTCATTTGCTGAGGAGTGAAAACATTACTAAGAACTCAGTAAACAGATTCATCAGGGAAAATTAACTATATATGAACTTGATAATTTAAGGTTCCGGAAGCAATGACAATATATCTTGGTGGATATCCTTGCTTGGCTTCCTGGGCTTCCATTATTTTATACCAATCCTGAGTCTAACTCTGCTCCTTTCTTCTCAATCTGTTTATGTCACTAAAAGCCCGACTTTTCCTGGGAAGAAATGTTGATTAACTATGCAAGATCACGCACAGTTCCAGCACAGGGTGAAAAATATTATGTGCGTAAACAATCTTTCAGGTGGAATTCTGGAGCGAGGCTAATTGATCTAGAAGCAGGCTGATGTACATAACTGGCACAACATGTGACGGCTGTGTGTGCCTTACTTCCAAACCATACTAGTAGCATCATTTTGACTCAGTCCAGGGACAAAAATTAACCTCACCATCACCAGCTAGCAGTTATTGAACAGCTTTTTTTTTTTAATTCTAACTAATGTCTCTGAAGGCAAAGCAAAATAGACAAACTCTGAGGCAGAGAACTGTGATTAGCTGACGAGCAGTTTCTAGAGTCTGGGGTAGAGTCCAGCAGTTTATAAGGCTGATATTACTGGACTGAGAAATGGACACGTTCAGTGGCTGTAGGATTTCTAATATGAAAAGAGGTAGGAATATGAAGGCGCTTCAAGAAGTCTGTAGAAAAAATTAATTAAAAGACAATGCAAATCTTTCCATGAATTTTTTGAAGACTCTTTGTATACTTTTCTTTTTCCTACTGCTCCTTGGTTCAAGACCACAAGCTTTTTAATAACCAAAACAGTGAGTACCTAGTGCCTCTGATCCATTTATATTGTTTTATATATGGCACAGCTACTGGTACCCCCTTTCCCTCCCACTTTCCTGATTTCCACTTTCTTGAGTTATTCTGGGTCAGAAACTCCAAACTAACACTGGCATACAGTACTCAAGGATGCTAATGGATTGCTGAGAGCGATGGCAAACAGTGCAGGGAGGACTAGAAAAGAGGACTCAGCAGTCTGAACTGGGGGGCGTATATTGACCATTTACTCCAGCCAGGTAGGAAAAGACAAACTCAGCTCAGCCCAGCAGAGCAACACCAGGAGACAGTGTCTGGAAGCTTTGCATGTTAAACTCAGAAGGGAAAATCAGAGGGAAAGAATTCCCCAACAATATTTAGTATAGGAACTGCAAGACAATTGCAGAAACTTGCCTGACATCCTCGGGATTCAGGAAGATATGGCTTTTATAGAACAGAAGCAGAAATCCATAAGAAGATTCTAGACTCAAAGAAAAGTAAGCCTATTTTGAGTAGGTCAAGGGAAACTTGAAATGCCATCGTAGAACTGAAATCTCCATAGATGTGTAGAGGATAATCAACTGCACAACATCAAATAATAAATGTGTATAATAATCTTAAGATGCTCTCTTAGAAAAGACAAGTATATAAAAATAATGTGAGAAAAGAGAATAAAATGGAGGACACAGGACACAAGCAGGAGCTAAAATTTATGTGTTCCCAAGAGGAAATATCAGAATAACAGGAACAGAAACCATAATGGCAGGGGTGATGGAAAAAAAAATTCTGGGAAGAAAAATATCCCTCATTATGCAGATAGAAAAGGCTCACTGCAGTCTGCAGAAAATCAATGAAAAGAGTCTCATATCAAGGCACATTTTGCCAAAAAGTTTAAATTATAGCATAAAGAAAAATCCTTCAAACATATGGACAGCAGAAAAAAGACTACACACCAAAGAATAAAAATAACTGGGGCTAAGACGTTTTGCAACAGAAAATTCCAGACAACAGCAGAGTGCTTTTTAGAGAAGTTGGGGAGAAACATCTGAGACACTATTGCATCTCGGTCATGTGAGTAAAAAGACTGTGGACTTGGTAACTGTCATATCCTCCTGCTCTTCATGCAAAAGGTTACTGAGGATGTGCTCCAGCTCAGAGAAAGTAACGCAAAGATAAGAGCCCCACATTAGATCGCTGTTTGAACAGCGGTAAGCCTTGAGAGCCTCTACACCTAGAGTTAAGTCTAAATACTTGATGGAAAAGTGTTTCAAAATCACATGAAATGTCAAATA